GTTCTCAGTCAAGAATCTGCTTGTGTGGCCAGGAGAAATGATAGGGAATGTTTCATTTATGTAGCTCAGGGTTGAACTGTGAAGTCCTTGGGATTCTCTGAGCTTGGTTGTTTTCTTGCAAACATTTCATTATCCATATAGGTAACATCTCCAGTGCTAGAATGGAGTGGGGTTTGCTCTCTGTTTATATACAGTGGCTTGCCCTGCCAGTGTTGGATTTTTTTTTTCTTGATAGTTCCTTGATTAGGTTATTGTTTACTGCTTCATTGTATGTCTGGTGATAATATTGATGTTAATCTCTGCTTATCTGGATGATGATTGCTGGTAAGGAGATATTCTGATCTTTTGTTTCCTTTTTATTGCCTGTTTTGAATAGTGTGTAGATGTGGTTTATCTCTATGTGTCTGTTGATGGCTGCCTTGTCTGAATACCAAGTTTCCAGGAATTCCCTTGCATTTTTGGATTTAGCTTGATCTAAGATGCTGAGTTTCCCAGTTGAAACTATGGTGAAGTTTGTCCATGTGTTGTGAGATTAAGAAGTTTTCATTTTTCTTATGACTGCTAGTTGGGGTTCATGGATAGGCTCTGCTAGCCTTCGGTCTGCCTGTCCTATATAGTGGTTTTTGCAGTCCTTACACTGTACGTTGTAGATGACTCATTTTTTCTTCTTGGGCTACTGGGTCTTTTGGTTTACTTAAGATGTTTTGGAGAGTTTAGTTGGTTTGTGTGCTACAGAGATGCCATGTGGTTGTAATAGTCTGTTGGTTGTTTCTGAGATGTTTCTGAAGTATGGCAGTGTTAACCTTTCCATAGCTTGTGTTGGTTGTGTTGTAGTAGGTTAAGTGGTCTGGCACTTTTTGATAAAGTTGCGTGCATATCCATTTTGTTGGAAGGTGTTGTATAGGTGCTGTTTCCTTTTTCTGCTGTTCTGGGTTGCTGCAGTGTGTTTGTGCTCATTTGAATAATATTCTTACACAACTCCTCTTGTGGGAGGTTGGGTTGTTTCTTTGGTAATGGAGTACTTGGTTAGTGTGGGTTATTTTCCAATAGACTTGGGTTTCTAATTTGTTGTCATTTCCTCTGCTGATGATATCCAGGAAGGGTAGCATGTTGTTGTTTTCTTCCTCTGGTGAATTTTATTCCTTTAAGATGTTGTTGATAGTTTTATGTATCTTCTCTAGTTGTTCCTTTTTTATTATAACAAAAGTGTCATCTACATACCTGATCCATATTTTTGGTTGTATGCATGGAAGTGCTATAGTTTCTAGGCATTGCATTACAATCTCTGCTGAATCCTGAGAGTGGTGATCCCATGGGTGTGCCTCTGATCTGTTGGTATATTTGTCCATCAAACTGAAAATACATAGTGAGGCAGAGGTTGATGAGGTCCATAATTCTGGGTATTTTGATCTTAGTATATTTGGTTAGGTCAGGTGTGTTGTGTAGTACTGCTGACCTTGATTCTTTCGCTAGTTCTAGGTTTATTTGCAATTAAATTGTTATATGAAAGGGAGACAAACTAGTTAGACTGCATTCCAAAGATGACAACTCACTTCAGCCTAGAATAAGAAAAGACCATGAAAAACCCAGAAGAACTGAACACTTCCTCTTAGCTCCTACTGATTTCCTAGAGGTTTCTAGGTTAGGGTTAGGCACAACTCTGAGCTGTGCAAAACTGTCAGAGCTTCCAGTCAGATCTACCAGTAACTTTCTCTGAAACAGACAGCTGGCTAACAGCCTACTGATTTAATAAGGAAGAAGCATTACGACAAATCAAACAACCAAAATCTATGCAATTAAGTAATTGTAAATTGGTTACAAATATGCATATATATTTTCATTGTATATATGTAAAGACCATTTGACAGACTCCAAATTTGATAATTATCTTGTATTAAATTACCATATTCTTATCTTCTCCATGTTGTAAATTATATATTGACCAGAGTCAGGAAAGCGGTGTAGTTTATTTCTGTATGACAACATGCTCTTCATGTGGCAGTGCTAATCATTAAAGCCTTCCTTATCATTAGGCAGAGCAATGTGGGAAACTTTGGCCATACATGTTGTAGGGCTGTCATGCTGTCCTAAGGTTTGTAAGGTTGATCTGTAAAGTGCCTTATAGCTTACCCTACATCATCAATGCTAACTTATTCAGCCATGAATACTGAAGTGGGATTTTATCAGTATAATTGGCTTTTATATATGAAATGGAGAGATGCTCCACTTATTTGCCACAGGAAGCAAAATGTTTGAGGCAAAGCTGAATAATCATATTTATGGGACTGAAATCATGTATGAGCCATAGCTCATGCATTTGGGCAGACAAGGCAGTAGAAGATCTAAGAGCCTGATAAAATATCAGTGTAAACTCCAGATGCCACCCAGAGCCTTGACAGAGATCTATAGATGCTCAGTGTGTAATAATCATAACATTAGTTATTCTGGATTGGAATATTGTCTATCAATTTCAAGCACTATTTCACAGACATTGGCAATGTTCTACTTTTATTTCTGACTTCATGCAACTCTAGTGAATGGAACATATTAAGTCTTCATTCTTGAAGTAGTAAACAACTATTATCATTCAATGAACAGTATCCTATCAGGGCAATCCAGATCTGTAAACCCAAGCAGCATATCAGTACAAAACTGGCAAACATTTACATTGCTGGTACATTCATATGAATGTTTTAAAACATTCTTGTTTCTTCATCACACTGATTGCTTTCCTGAAGTGAGTGAGCCATCTGGTGGTTTAAACCACTAACTTCACTTCTCATTTTTCTATTTTTTTCTTTTAATAAATTTTTCAATTCCTGATTTTAAGATATTCAGCACGTTTTGAAATATGTATGCAGCTTGAAAAGTGAGAATGCTACAATAAACACTTTTATCATTGTCTATGCATTTTTTCATGGTGGTTTGAGTTTCATCAACAGAATTAGAACTGGGTATACAATTCTAGAACTATACATATTTCCTAGCAACATAATTATTGCCTGGAAGAACATAGAGGATTCCAGTTGCATGCCAATTATTTCATAAACTTTTCTGTGTATTCCAGACATCCCTCAGGAACTTAAAGATATGGGGTTAATTTACAAAAACCACTTGATATGGGGGGGGGGGAATTATCCTTACTTCCTCCAAAACTCTTCTTCATGTGATGGCTTGACTGAACAATGGTTTCAAAAGTTTATTTTTTGATATTACAACTAAATGAACAACTAAAAGAAACTATGTACTAACGCTTCCATCTTGGATGTAACTGATTCAATCAGTACCTTTCTCACAGTCCAAACCATAGTGGGTTCAGAGTCTGCATTAATCAGTATGACTCCCTTAACTCTGGCTTAGCACAATGTTTGAACCCAATTATTATTTGTTAAACATGATTTATGGTGTAACATTTAGGTGAATCTTGTCACTATTTAAAAAAAAATAAGCTACATTGAATTACAACTCTAAGTACATTTACCTGGAAATGTATCCACTGGAATTCAACAGGATTGCTTTTGGGCAGTGACATAACAGGATTATATGTTATGTTAGTTGTCTATTATTCCTACCCAAATCAATTGTTTTTAAATCATGACTCAAATTTAATCTCACATATTTCAATGGGACTTAAGCATGGCTTCATTTCTAACTAGTTTAATTATGAGGAAGAAAGCACCATTAACAGCACAATTTCACTTTATTAGACAGCCAGGCCATAGGCTGGTTATCAGATTACATTTCAATAATCAAGTAAAGTTCTGTACTGCATATAATAATATACCTCATCTATATGAGGCAATTTATACTACAGTCCATGCCCATACACATACAAGTGCATACAGATTTCATTGGATCTTAATTTCATGTTTATATAACATTTAGTCTTTTAATACCTAAAACTGTATCAATCAAGGTAATTTCATTCACTTTATAAAAACTATTTCTCAGATAATATTCACATATTCACAAACATTTTTGTAGCAAAATACTGAGCATAAGTAAAATATTAAGGCTTCCAACAGAAGCTAAGTTCATACACTTGCAAAAATATTGGAAAACTGGTTTTTAATAGCAGAGTGCCACCTGGTGGAAAAACAGATTTTAATCTCAAAATAGTCTTAAGGTAGTATTTTTTTCAAAATATCAGGATTGTACTGAGGTTGTACAGGGTAAATGTGATCAACATCAAAAATAAACTATTTGATAAGTAGATAGGTTGCTGAATTTTCAACAGGGAGTGAGATAATTAGATTGAAACCAGTTATACTAGTGCCTCAGTTATACTAATGACTGATAATTTTAAGTTATAAATTATCTTTTTTTAAGAAAATCAATACACATTCTGTTCATTTTGTAGAATATTTACTAGGAGCTGGACACTAAGCTTGAAAACTTGTTTCCTATTAAGTATGCTTATGAAACCAGCTAAAACAATCTGTCTTCATTTTGGATGACAGAATTCAGACGCACTTACTTTAAAGCAACCGTGCAGGAGTAGGTTTCACCATTTTTCCAAATTAATAAATTAACACCGAAAATACTTGTTCTAACCCAAACTCACCAATTTATTGGTGGCTTCAGGAAAATAAAAATGAGATAACCATATTTCAAATAAAATTTCTATTTCCCTTTTTTTAGACTTTACACAGAATTTTTAATCTGTTTGCTAATACTCTATATTAACATTTTTGAAACTGAAAAATGCACTAGTATTCTAATTTTTTATGCTGATACAAATATACCTTATGAAATAATTCTAGTTTCTTCCATTAATATTGCTTGGCTCACTGGAGAAAAATTTAATAATCCTCTAGACCTTGTTTAAAATACATTATCCTTGCTCAACAATTATTAAGCAAAAATAACAGGTGAACAAAATTTTGTGATATTATATCTAATCAGATAAACACTGAAGGAAAGCTTGACAATTGAGATGCTTTAGTCAAAGGATTTTTAATACAGTGCAGATTTTCTGGGTGAAAGAAAAACACTATAAAAATGGTGGAAAAAGAACAAAAGATAAGGAAAGAATAAAAGATAAATGAATTATTATTTCATGAAAAAAGCCTGATTTATTAAAAAATACCCATGCAGGAAATACTAATTATACAACATGCCCAGATATATATTCAACTGTGATGCAAGAATAGCCGTGGCCTTTGGATTAGGGAGCAAATCCCTACAAGGCAGATGGCAACAGTGAAACGTGGTCTTTGTACAAAGGCCAAATGAAAAAGAAATCCTCTAAACATTACTCTCATGTACAGATGATGCAACAGAAAACTTTGGACTCAGAAGCATTACTTATCCAGACATGTGGGGGGAGGGGGAACAGTCTTCATCCTAAGTCTCTAGAAGAGGCCTATCTTAACTGGGTTGGGGGTAGAGAAAGCATGCAGGCAAAACAGAAATCCCAAGCACGATGCATATAAAGAATTAAGTGGATTGGCTGTACTGCTAGAGCTCATTTGGAAAGCTGTACCTACACAAATGTTTATCTAAAAAGAATATACACTTCCCAATTATATAGGTATGCAACAGACTATACATACAGCCTATAATAGTACTGTAGACACCCCCAGAGCTATAAAGGAAAATAATAACCTACAGATAACCTCTCTGCTTACAACTAATCAAGTTCTCTTGAGTAGAGCTCATTTGGAAAGCTATTTTCCAAGTTTCTTGGAACCAAATAAGGACTTTGATTATTTTTAGGTCCCAAACAGAAAGGTGTAACTATTGTGTCTTGCTTCCTCAGTGTTTCCTTCTTTGAAACATTTATCATCCAACGTTTCAATAAGTGAGATAAACACAACAGAAAGTTACTTCATTTGGAGGATACCTATGAATGCAAGACAGTGCCCTCAAATTCACCTGTTTTATCATTGATGGATCTTGAGCAATTGTGCTACTGTGGCCTTATTTTTAGAAATCTTTCCAGAAACTTACAATGTCTGTGTAACATGTAAAATATCTTGTACCCTTTCATTTGTGTTCTGCTGTCCTAAAAGCCTTGGCTCTCAGAAAGGCTTGGAATAGCCAGGGTAGTGGGAGGAAAAGGATCTGGCACAGAACTGGGTGGAAAGGATTCAAGGAAATCTCCCCTCCCCCTCCTGGAACAAGAAAAAAACCGCAGTAGGCGCCTCCTACGCGGAAAACCTGAGTTGCAGAGGAGACTGAGCTGTGCCGAGGGAGGGTGAAGGACGGTAGGCCGGATAGTTTTTTGGGAAGGGGAGCGCGAGGAGCAAGGCTGAGCAGGTATCTTCCCCCTCCTCAGACTATCTGCCGTTTCTCTTCGTGCAGGCTATAGCAAGTCGCCAGAGCCGGGCAGGCGTCCAACCAGCTGTTGCCATGACTGTACGCACATATGAGCTCAAGCCTTGTCTAGGAGGTTCCCGCCTCCCAGAAGGGGCAGAGGGGGGAGCTGAAAGTGACTACATATAAGTGCAAGCGCGCGCTGCCTTCGCTCCCATACTCAAGGCGAACAGCCGAGGTGATCTCCAAAGCCAGGCCTTGCTCCTCTCTAACTCTCCCTCAGGACGTTGCAAGTGAATTCAGCGCGCGGAAGAAGCCCTTACAGCGCTCGTGTTCGCCTGGGCCATTACAAGCATCCGCTCGGCTCTAAGCGGTTCGAAAGACATTCTCTGCCCGGTGGTGCTAAGCGCCATTTGCCATTTTCAAGTTTTTTTAAAAACTCACATCATCATCGTAATTACTATTAATTTCCTTTCTATAACCTCGCGCGCTGCGTGCATCATGAAGGGAGCTAAGGCATGTCTGGCGCTGAGCACGCTGTTGCTCTCGCTGGCCGCTCGAGGCAGCCCTTCGTCGCTACAAGAGGAGGAGTTGGTGGTGCCCGTGAAAGTGGATCCTGTCGGGCAGCAGCAAGCGGCCGACGAGCAGTTCTACCACCTGGACGCCTTCGGGGAGCACTTCAGTTTGGAGCTGAAGCCCGACAACAGCTTTTTAGCTCCGAGTCTGACGTTCCAGTATATTGGCAGCCGCCCCCAAGACCGGAGGGAAGAAGAGGAGCCCCACCAGTCGCTCGGCGCGAACTTAGCCCGCTGCTTCTATTCCGGCACAGTCAATAGAGATCCGGCCTCGGCCGCAGCCCTCAGCCTCTGCGGAGGAATCCGCGGCGCGTTCTACCTGCGCGGCTCAGAGTATCTCATTCAGCCAGCCAACGTCTCCCGCGGTCCAGCAGAGGAGCAGCTTCAGCTCCACGTCCTGAGCCGCCCTCGGCAGAGCCGGGGCCCCCGTGGCGGCGGTACTAAGTGCGAGGTGCCTGACTCCAATGAAACTTCGGCCTCAGAAGGGCGGCGGCGACGCCAAGAGGAAAAGCAACATGCGGAATACGCGACCCGTGCAGGTATTAATCTCTCTGCACCGCACCTCTCTTCGTCGCCCTTGTCCAAACAGGGAGCTTAGCTTTGGGAACGTCAGTGACGATGCTGTGGGGCACGCATGCGCTCTAGGCGCGCAGTTCAGAGTGGTCCAAAAACCACATTACGGCAGGCTGCCATTGGTCACTCTGAAGCTGAGGTCATAAGTGGAGGGATAAGAAGCAGCAGTACTAGTTGAAGTTGAATTTCAGTAGTTTGTGGCTTGTATCATGTTGGAAAGTGGAGAGATTAGAGTGAGAGACACTACTGAATCGGAATATCTAAATTAATTTAAAGGAGTTACCTTAACTCTCGGATCCCAGCTACTTGGTGGGAAAGTATTTTGATTGCAATAAACAGAATTTCCCAGTAGTTTCGGGTTACAGTCTTATGAATGGGAACAAATCTGGTTAAATATGTAGGATTAACTTTCATATAAACACATGTAGGGTACGTAAAATGGAGAAGTCTTGGGTGTGGAGCTGCCTTAGGCTAAGTAGTATTTGACAATACAGTGATTAACACATTTTGGTATAAAACATTTCAGGCATTACAGGTTACAGCTCATGAATCCCTCCTCCAGAGTGGTTCTTCTAAACTTGTATTCTGTGGGTTACACCTAATAAGTTAGTTTATAGTTGTCCATACTTAATGTGGTAAGGAAAATACAGCCACAAAACATCCTTGCAAGAATGCCCTAAATGAAAAATCTGTGTCTAAATTTGCATGACATGTTTTACCCATGGTTTACTGAATTTACCCAGTTTTCTGGATTCAAACAGTGCAGTGTATATACAATTCATATGGTCTAGGGATTCATATTAAGCTAAAATGTGATTACCTGATTTATGCTTCAGTTTCTCAAGTAAAACACAGATAGTGTGAATACTGTAGCATATAGCTATTTAAAGGTAACAAGTGAAACATCCTTGCAATCAAGAGGATATGTTGTCTGGCTGAACATACTTTAATGTCTGTTTGGAATTAAATTCCACTGAGTTAAATGCACCAAAAGAAAGAATACATAAGATTCTACTTCTACTATAACATTGTCAGGCCAAAGGTAAAATAGCAATACAGTTAAAACTTGGTTTGTGTTTCTTGGTTTACCAATGTCCTACTGACCTTCTGAGTAAATAGGATAAAATAAGAATTGCACACATTCTTAATGCAATGTTATTTTTTTTCCTTTAATTTAACATATTCATGTTAGTTTTGGAGTACATTCTGTAGAATTGCCTGGGACTTAACATTTTCAAGCAAGCTTCTTTAGGATTAAGTTGTCGCTTGTAAATAAAAATACATCAAATATATTAAGTATGCTATTTCTGGTCAGTTTTGTGGATCGTATCATTAAAATTTAGGCTTGTATCTTAACTGGGAAATAGTCCCAATAAGTATGGGGTTAATCTATTCTCTTGAGTTGCTTTCAGTTCCACTGGTGAGAATCAGTACCTAGAATCTAGGTCCTAGCTGAATGCCCCAAGGCAGTTACTTTTTCTACTATTTTACATAGTAATTTCCACTACATTCCACTATCTATCTGTTGAATAATATTCACTATAGCTGATCTCAAAAAGCTAAGCAAGGTTGGACCTAGTTAGTATATATAGGCCAGACCAAGTTAAAAAAAAAAAAATCCTAGAAGGCAATGACAAAGTACTTCCATATTTTTGGCAAGAAAACTACACAGATGTGTTCATGCAGTCATTAGGAGGCAAGTTCAACTCAAAGAGGACTTTAAAGCTTTAGGTTCTGTTCACATAAAAGTATCCTAAACTGTGGTATTTGTTATATGACAGTTTCCTCTAATCTGATGCTTTCTGTATGTATTGGATTCCAACTTCCAGAATCTATAGCCCTTGGCCCTTCTGTCTTGGAATTGTAATTAAAATATTTGGATCATACCAGCTTGAGGAATATTTGCAATTAGGGATGTGCAATATTTGCCAATCTGGGAACAGACCATTCTGAGTAGCTTCATGCTGAACCTCATCCAGACTGTGCTGTTCTGGGATGCTGACTGGTGCTGATTCAGGGATAGCCCACCCTTAGATCCCCTTGAAATAACCTGTTTATTATTGTACTTGGCTTTCCATGTATAACCCCACAAACATTAAAATGCAGTGTCTGTATATGATAACGAACTTGGTTTTAGTATGGGAAGGGAAAGGATATCTTTCAAGTAATTTCTTTTAAAAAGTGAAGTCTCCTTCAAGTTGAGCTGTGTTCCTGATAATTTCGTAAATGAATATACTTCATTTTATGTAGTAGTAGCTATATAGTAGTGGTCTGCCACTGCAGGTCTACCACTGCACCACTTCCAGGATTTTTTTTTTTTTTTTTAACTTCCCAATCAAATGATATTCCTTGAAGGGCTCCCATCTGACTTTTGGCCAGGCATAACCTTGCTGAGCTTGAGCCCAGACCTGAACAATTCAACCAGCTGCTGTTAGCTGCAAAACTAATATTATACTTTCATATGCACAATATACAATTGTTCACATGACAAATGAACTTTTAGTTTAAAAGTGGGTTAATAGTAATGTTTGCCTTCAGTTGATAAAGCTCACCTGGAAAACAACTATTTGTTCTCAAAGAAGACTAGTTTCTCGTGTAGGGATTTTTCTGATCTGTTCTGTTCTGTTCCATCCCATCCCATCCCACTGAAAGGAAGGCAGAGAATGGGACACCTACATAACTGCAGTACATTTAGCTGCAGAAAGTTGAAACTCTTCTCTATTTGATTACTGAAGAGGAACTAGGAACTGGCAAAAGAGAGTAGGAGTATTTCCCTTTCCATGCCCTTGGGAAGTTTTGGATCAGATCCAGGCAAAGTTTTCCATTTCAATAATTTTGATCTTTGAGGAGGATGGCTATGAAAATTTATTGGCAGCAGCAAAGATTTATGTTGCAAACCCTCAATGGAAATATTTCTTAATATGCAGTCAGAGGATTTAACCCTTTGTAGTAGATACTTCATTAACATTCCTTAGTTTTTTAAAGTTTTTTAAAATGGATCAAAAAGAATGGACTATTTAGGTCATCTTTGGGACTCCCATTCTGTCGTGGCAGTGGCTGATTATTATGATTACGATTTGCCAGTTGTATAAATACTGTTGAGAAATGTTGATAATATATAATACTTATATTTTACTTTTATTTTTTGAAATGCAGAGAATAGACATATAAGGAAGAAAAGATTTGTGTCGAGCCCCCGCTATGTGGAAACTTTGCTTGTAGCCGACCAATCTATGGCAGAGTTCCACGGAAATGGACTGAAGCACTACCTTCTCACACTCCTGTCTGTGGCTAGTAGAATATACAAGCATCCCAGTATCCGGAACCCTGTTAGTTTGGTGGTGGTGAAAATAATAGTCATCTATGATGAGCAGAAGGGCCCTGATGTGTCTTCAAATGCTGCTCTCACTTTAAGGAATTTTTGTAGCTGGCAAAAGCAGCATAATCCTCCCAGTGACCGGCATGCCGAACACTATGATACTGCAGTTCTCTTTACCAGACAGGTAAGGAGAAATACAAGAAAGAGTGGGAATTTATAGATTCCAGTTAATATAATCTGAACTTTCTTCAGTCGATGCATTCAAAAATACTTTTTTTTTCATTTGAAACATTTCAAAGAGTATGTCAAAAATGTCGTTACTTAGAGTGAGCTAATGCCAGAAATTTGTTACATTTTTAATAGTTTTCCCCATGGAGAAATGTACAAAAATATTTATTGAGTGTTTATTATTTATTTATTTATTTATTTATTGAATTTCTCTCCCGCCCATCTCCCCTACAATAGGGGACTCTGGGCAGTGTTTATTTATTTATTGAATTTCTCTCCCGCCCATCTCCCCTACAATAGGGGACTCTGGGCAGTGTTTATTTATTTATTGAATTTCTCTCCCGCCCATCTCCCCTACAATAGGGGACTCTGGGCAGTGTTTATTTATTTATTGAATTTCTCTCCCGCCCATCTCCCCTACAATAGGGGACTCTGGGCAGTGTTTGATTAGGAAATGTTATTGTTACATGACCATGAACATCCAATTTCTTTTGAATCCTTTCAGAATATGTTCCCGGTCTCTTCATTGCCAAATACTTCTAAACATTGAGTAGAGACCATTATCATAGTTTAAAATGTGAGATGATCAAATGGTTTACTTAAAGAATTAATAGGAACAGCACATTACTGAGTAAAAATCTGTTGTAGCATGATTGTAATGGTGTTGCAAGTCATCTTGTTTTCTGCTAGCCCTGGTATATCTTCCAGACTGAATGACATTTTTATTTGTTGAAAGGCTGAGCGTAATGTTCTTTCCATAATGAAAAGGCACATTGCCAAAATAATATCATTTCTGTCAGGTTTAAACTCCTGACCTAATTAATAATGAAAGTACATATTTTCTTTTCATAGGATCTCTGTGGTGCCAAAACATGTGACACTCTTGGGATGGCTGATGTGGGAACTGCTTGTGATCCAAACCGCAGTTGCTCTGTCATAGAAGATGATGGCTTGCAAGCTGCTTTTACAACCGCTCATGAATTAGGTAATTGAGATTCAGGGTAAATTTGTGGCAAGCTTATTTGTTTTAAAAACATGAATTATGCATATTGGTCTGTATTTAAGGCTTTAAATCAGTATAGTTCTTTCAGTTACTCTGGTCTAGTTCTCACCATGGTGCCTAGGTTCTGCCACATTAGATAAAAGTGTTGGCTTCAGTCATTGTCCAATAAAAAATAATTTGTGTGTATGAAATCCATAACCTTTCTCCTGGACAGTTAGCTTCCTAGAGCAGTGTTTCTCAACCTCAACAACTTGAAGATGAATGGACTTCAACTCCCAGAGCTGGTTGGGGAATTATGGGAATTGAAGTCCACATATCTTAAAGTTGAAAAACACTGTCCTAGAGGCTGAGAGATTTCTTTTAATGCACGATCATGCGGGTATATTTCATTTGTAATATAAACCAATGGAAGTCCAGGTTTGCAAACATTGGGACAAAACTCTGAGCACAATTGTTTCTCAATATGTGAAAATAACTACTGAATATTGTAAACATTATCAATGATGAAAAGTAAATTCATTCAATTTTCTTAGAGGAAAGAAGTGGCTGAGAGTTTTAAAATACACTCACATAAAACTTGGGTGTTATCTGTGCATAGGATTTGTAAAAAGTTTGATTTCAGAAAAACATTTTTAAAAATCTTTAAATTATCATATACAGTAAAAGAGGAGATGAACATTGGCTTTCACTTTTGATATCAGTTCTTACATGCCATCATGAAAACTGAACACTTAAGATAAAATTAAATATACAACATAATACCATTAAAATGGGTCTTTAGGATTTCAATACTTATCTGATCCATCAGACTCCAAGAAATGTAGAATTAAAAGTTGCACAATAATACAATAAATTACATGGTATTTACTATCCAATTACATAGTATAACGATCAGCAATAGGACAAGAACACAAAACAAAACACAACATTTCTATTGTCATGTCACAATCAAACCAAGATCAGTATCCAACAGCTCTCCAGAAAAGCCACTCTTGACAAACTTGAAAGTAAGTTTGTCAAGAGTCATGATCAAAAGACCATGAAAGTAAGGGGTATTATAGACAAGCTATTCCATAGGAGGGAAACCTCCAAAAATAAGGTCTACTTCTGTTCTCTCCCCCATTATATCATCAGCATGATGAGTGGGGGCCTTCAGCAGGCATTCCTTGCTTACCCATTTTTGACAAGCGTAATCTATCTGTGATAGAAGTCATCAAAGGTAGCTAGGCCTCAAACCATATAAAGCTTTATAGGTGACAATCAATGCCTTGAACCGAACTCAGAACAAACCATTAGCCAGTGGTGGTATCACATAACAGTAATGAATCTAACCAGTAAGCACACACCATACTGCAAGTTTTGATGCATGATGAGTTCATCCCTTTTTTTTTCTTCTTAAAGGCCATGTGTTTAATATGCCGCATGATGATGCAAAGCAGTGTGCCAGTATTAATGGTATAAATAGCAATTCTCACATGATGGCATCTATGCTTTCCAACTTGGATCGAAGCCATCCTTGGTCTCCATGCAGTGCTTACATGATAACTACCTTTTTGGATAATGGTCATGGTAAGTTTTAAATATCCTGCTTATATTTCTAGCTGAATTCTCTTTGAGATAACAAATTGTAATATTAGAATTAGTTGCTTTCAAGTATTTTTTTAGGTATCAAATCAGCTAGAAGAACATTAAATTATAGCCAAACAAATAGGATATCATGGGCCCCTGTCTCAACAAATTGCTGTTAGTCCAGAAGATGAGAATCATAAGTTCAGGGGAAAGATTAATATAGCTGATATACCTAGCCATAACAAAAACTTAAATATAAATGGGTGCCCAAACTTACCAAATATCAGAAGGCTCTGATTTGATTTACCTAATATCCTAATGACCTGTTTCCTGGAAGCATTGGTCTAACAGAATGGAAATAAAATGTCTGGGTGATAGATCTTGTTACCTGCTTATGTTTAAACATAAGTTCCCATTTAATGTTTTGTAATGAACTATCAAAATCTTCCTGGTAAACATTAATAGGTTAAATGCCTACTAATATCAGTGTTTGTTTCTAGTAATTCTAAAGTGGCAAAGGACATAAGTTGCCAGGATCTTAGTGATAGAATACAAGCTGGGAATACCATGTCTTAACTCTGAAGAAATGCTCTCAGTAATAATACTCAGTACTGAAATATGTGGCCTACTGATCTTGCTTCATAAAACCTTCTTATATTTGTAAGCATTCTTAAGCTAACAGATGGAAATTTAAACCAGTAAAGTTGACAACAGACTGGAATTTCTCTTGTGAATTCATGGGTCAAACATTTGAACAGATATCTTCTAGTTTCTATTGTCTTTCAATGGATGATACTACAATATTTAAAGGAAAAATAGTCAAATGTCACAATATGGCTTTTCTTTGCTCTTCTCAGGCGAGTGTCTGCTGGACAAACCTCACAAGCCAATGCCATTCCCTTCTGATCTACCTGGCATAATGTATGATGCTAATAGACAGTGCCAGTTCACATTTGGGGAGGATTCCAAACATTGTCCTGATGCAGCTAGCACATGTTCAACTTTGTGGTGTTCCGGTACCTCTGGCGGACTGCTTTTGTGCCAAACCAAACATTTTCCTTGGGCAGATGGTACCACTTGTGAAGAGGGAAAATGGTGCATGAATGGCAAGTGTGTTAATAAAACAGACAAGATATATGATGTAAGTCATTATTTGCTTGTGGTTGAGTAGATGAAATTCTGAGTTACTCAGGTTTAATTTTTCATTTAAAGAATTTAATTTTTTAATTTTTCCTTTTTTCCTTTTAATAAATATTTAAAAACACAAATCAGAAAAAATAATTAATACAAAAATAAGATAGGAAAGAGATTTATAAGCTATATAAAATTGGATAAAAAATTTGAAGCACTATTTGTTTAGTGTTGCATATAAAAGTTATCAAAACCATGATTAAAATGAAGTTACTATTCAGTAATTAACAATAATTAATAAAAATAGCAAGTCAGAATAAACAATTATATATTTTAGCAATCAACACTGGAGTAATCTACGAAAGATAAAACATCTTGTACCTCAAATTTAGTTTATCAGAATACCCAGTGTAAGAGCATTCAGAACAAAATTCATTAGATTCAGTAGATGTTAGTTATAAGTAAATGTGCATAGGATTTATTTCCTTTCACCCATTTTAAATAGCTGATAAGGTGTTGCCTTACCTGTTTTTTTTAAAACAGTACAGTCATAATAATACACTATATAAATAATAGGATCATAACTTCAACTGTTTCTAAATTTTATGCTACCATCCTCTTATTTCTCCTAAAAGGAATGTTTTCAATACATTTAACATGCAAATTTGTTTCTGTGTTTCAAATTGTAGACCCCTGTTCATGGAGGCTGGGGCTCATGGGGATCCTGGGGAGAGTGTTCAAGAACATGTGGTGGAGGAGTGCAATATTCTGTGCGAGAGTGTGATAGCCCAGTTCCAAAGAATGGAGGAAAGTATTGTGAAGGCAAGCGTGTGCGGTATAGATCCTGTAATATTGAAGACTGTCCAGAGAATAGTAAGTTTCACAGTTATTTTATAAATGCAGTTATGAAATAAAACATGAGTTTCCCAAGCCTGATCAGTGTCTTTTCTATTTACAGGCAAAACTTTCAGGGAGGAACAGTGTGAGGCTCACAATGATATTTCCAAATCTTTTGGAACTGGCCTTATAGTGGAATGGACACCTAAGTTTGCTGGAGTCTCTCCCAAAGACAGATGCAAGCTTGTTTGCCTTGCAAAAGGCACCGGCTATTTTTTTGTTCTTCAACCAAAGGTGGGTACAAGTGCATATCATACATATCGGGAGCTTTATATGTGTTCATTAACTTTGACCACTGCTAAAACTGACGAATGACACATTCTCTAATAGGCAACTTAACATTTTACTGAAATTCCTATACTCTGCTATTCAAGATTTACCCAAATAATAATTACTTAGTAGTTTACCTGTTCTTATACCAAATGTATTACAAATGATATCTATGCTGCCCTAAGATCCATCAGTTCTCTTTGTCAATATCCTAAGGGTAAAGAGACCTTCAAATCAAGCTAGAGCTATGGTGACTTTGTTGAAACAACCATGCTGTTTTCTTGGCAATAGCACATAAGTGATTTGCCACTGATTTATTTTGATGTTTTTCAACTCCACAGTCTGTCTTGCTTCCTCCCATCCAAGTACATGGCCTAACCTTTCTTGCTTTTTAATCCAGACAAGGTTGGCCACCTGCTGCCATCTGCTAAAATCATACTTGATATCTTAGCAATATACAGTATAATTACTAAACATTTCACCTCTAAAAAACACTCAAATGCCTCAACAAAATTTACAGGCTTTTCAGGCCCTTTGGTTGACATTTTGAGACAAAAATCTACTGTACCTTTTTAATCCTTGCCAATCATGCTCTGTTGGTTTAGCTAATTTACGGCTCAAAACTCCAACAGCATAGGATAAATCAGGACGTGTCCATTGGGCTAGGTGAAGGATTGAACCTATCACAGAATGGTACACTTCAGGTTTTTCACACAACTTTTCACATGTCTTATGTTTTAAGAAATCACATGTCATTGGGGTCTTTACAGGTTTTGCATCTGACATCCCCATTTGTGCTAACAACTGTTCTATCTTTTTCTTCTGACTCAGATAGAACTGAAAATGGAGAAATCTATGCACTTCAATACCAAGGTGGTATCTTAACATACCCAAATCCTTCATTTTAAAATATTTAAAATATTCATTTTAAAATATTTAAAATATTC